TGTTGACTCCCAAGGGACACTTGCGTCTTAGTTACCTTTTGAATTAACTAAACCTTTTGGAAAGATTAAACCATTCCCATGCTATTGTGTTTCGTCTGGTCATTTTATTGTTTTACTTAACATTTTATATTTTACTAACTTTGATCAATATTGTCCCTAGATCAGAACAATCATGAAGACAATTCACCTCAACAAATTCTTCTCACCTTTCTCAGCTTAGTACAATCATTGCCCACACTGTGCACGGCACACATGTAGCTTCCAATGTGGTGTCTTCTCCCTTCACGTCAAATGTACTGTTTTCCTAGTTCTAAAGATATTTATACTATAAGGGCTGCTAAAACTATCTCAATCAAATCCTTGCAATATTTTAATCTCTTTCTATAGAGCAAATGTGGTTGGGCCCTTGACTGCATGATATATTTTACAGGCCTCATACTCTGGTTCTCAGGCAAGATTCTGTGCTTTGAACTGAGAATAGGCAGGGAAGATGAACGGGCTCAACTGGGTTTGTAAGGCCATTTTGAGGCTTTTTTAAAGCCATGTCAAAGCCTACCTGCCTCATTTATACCTATAGCATTCTGAGTTTTTCTGTGCTGAAGCACAGTCTACTTCCACTGTCCCCTTCAAACCTGTCATTCTGTGATTCTATCACATCTGAGGAGCAGTGTGTCACCAGCAGAGTAGATTCTTGCTTCTTGCCTGCATCCTCTTTCCTCTTGGACCCACAATCCTCTACACAGTGGGCTAAATTTATCCAAGACTCTTGTATAAAACCTAGAATGGCTGAAACTGCTTTCATGGAAATCAGATATTCTCTTTTTTTGCTTTCTTAAAAGGCCCTTTCTGAAGCCAGGGCTCAACAGCACAACACTTGTATGACTGCAAATCAGCTTCAGTACTTGCTTTACTGTATCCCCTTGGGATGACAGTGCCTTGTGGAAGGAATTATCAAACTGTGAGTGAAAACTTTATAAGAGCAATATAAGTGTTCTCCACTTCCAGCTGATGATATTGGGGGGTACTAAACTTGGCCCCTTAATGCTACTTTCCTAGTGTAGTAATGAGTTAAAATCTGGTGTGCAATTAAAGTATGAGATCATTCAGCAATTACCTTCATTTTATAGGTAAAGCATTAACAGTACTTAGGTAGATAGTTGTGTGAGAATCATGGCAACTGGATAGTACATCTAACAGTGAGTGTGCTCTTCATTTCTCCAATTCAAGCTACAGAGATCCAGGATATCAGGAACTCAGCTAGTTTGAGTGTGGGTAATGGTCTGATTGTGGTTAGAGTGTGTAATTTAGCCCGCCAAGAAATAGGGAAAGCATCACAGTAAGGTTTAGGAGTGAAGGCTTGTGCTATGCAGGTAAAAATCAATGATGCCTCAGTCATGTACAAATGAAATGACAGGGTGTTGAATCAGATTTTTTTATTTTTAACCATGAAACAGACACTGAAATGTGTATGGGAAATGTAGCAGAATGTGCTATAGCCCAGGAATCTGCAGAAAACCTGCTTTCACATTTTGGATAGACTGCTAAGGTAGGAGAATTAATAGCATTAGTAGGCTCTGACGAGATACACAGCTTTAAGATTTCCTAAGTGGGTGGGTGTTAAAGCAAGGTGGATGATGGAAGTATGATTTTCAGTTTTAAAGAGAACACCCAGAACTCCAGTCAACAGCTTTAACAGCTCCAAGAGCTCACTACCCAGATGAACAGCAGTGCTAGGGCTGGGGAGGAGGCATGGGGAAGGAAAGGGAGGGAGAGGGATGGAAGAAATATCCTGAAGATTACCATCAGTCCCTGTCTGAGATTACTGAAGTACAAAAGGATGACTATGCTGATTCAGCTTCATCTGCTGTTGGCAACTTTCTCCTCTGCCCTCCCTCTGATCTCAGCTCTGTGTTTAAGAGCATGTGTCAAGCACAAGGGAGAAAAGCTGCTGAATATTTCGGTCACACTGTTTCTTTGTGAAAAGTACAAGATATTTTGAAACTGAAGCATGTCTCCTGGAAATGCCTTTTCCTTTCCCTTTCCAAACCACATTTACTTTTTTTCCCCCCATTTATAATCTGAACTCAGGTCAATCTAATTTTAAGTATAAAACTTACCCTACTTTATCTTCTTTCCTGGTTGTTGTTTGGTAAACTCCTTCCTTCAATTCACAGTACTGCAGCAATTACGGTCTTTTCATCCTCATCATCAAAACTATGCAGTCAAATACCCTTTTTTTAAAGTTGCTATATAGTACGATATTGTGAACAAGAGTATGTCATATTTAGTTACAGTTCTCCCTCTCCAAAAACATCAGATGAAGGTGGGTAAACATTTAAGTTATAAGAGTAAAGAAAACAGTCTCCCCATTGAAAGAGAGCCCTGATTCCTCAAATACCCCAACCAGTACTTCTGACTGGCTTAGGGCACTGCTGCTGGTTGCATCCCCCGTCCATCCTGCTGAGAATAAGCTGAGGAAGGGACACCTAGTAAATGCAAACAGAATTGATTTGGGATACCTTTAATTTTTTTTTTCTTAGCCTGGCAACAGCATGCATGATGAATCTGTGTTGGCACGTGTTCCTCTTGCTGCCACCCCTTCTTTGTCTGTTCAATGTCCTTGTCGATTTCTGCCTTAAATTGCCTGCAGCATCCCATATACAGCTTTTTTCTTCCTCAGTTTTTGCATGTCTGAAGTCACCAGGGTGATGGGACTTTATTCCCAGCTAGGACTGGTTTCAGTATTACTGTAAAAGAGGTCTTCTGACTCCTTCTACTCTGGACTTTTGCCAGGTACTCTCCACAGTTACAGCATGAAAGTAGAAAAGTGACGCTTTTCATCTGATCTTTCCTGATTGTACTAGCTTATCTATATTTTAATCCCTGTTAAAATGGCTTTTTACCCCTAGGAGGCTTCTTTGGAAGATCAGTCTGTGGTGGCTGAGGCCCCCAGACATGCTGGATAGAAATGTGATAATACCATGGATCTCTGCACTTTCCATCACTGGGAGCCTGGTGGGAACAAGCTGCTGGAGAGACCCTACTGATACGTGAGTCAAATGTGAAATCTCAGTGACTGCAAGCATTATGTACAGACCAGGTTTCAGTTCATCAGGAAATCAAGTTCTGGACAAGTACCTTTTGTTGAGTGGTGTTCCTCACCCTTCCTTGTTTGTGTCAAAACCAGCAGGAGACTAGGAGGTGGTGGGTACATTCCCATGGGCTTGGAGCTGGAGGAAAATGTCCTGTGCTCAGTGCTAGGTGGGCTCCCTGCACTGTCAGAGATCACCAGCACCCTGAAGGGGCCACATGGCAGGGGGAACATCTGAGATTGTGTTGCAGCGGGATGTGTGGTAGCATCATGCCACTGGGAAGGTTGCCTCATGTCACCATGGTGTTCACCACATGCTAGGCAGGGCAGTCTCCCCTTGTCATGTCCTGAGGTGTCTGCAGAACTCTCTACTCCTCTCATACCACTCACCGCCCAGGGAAGGCTACATAGGGAGAGGCTTCCTCTCCTGAGCTGTGCCGGGTATAAATAGCTCTTGCCGAGGGGAACGGAAAGGGCTGCTGCCTTGCCAAGAGGCCAGAGCTGGTGGCGCAGACAGGACTGGCAGGGGTGGCAGCAGCAGGTTCCCCTCTGGGTTGTGCCTCTCAAAGCCTTCTCTGTCTCAGCTGGCTCCCTTTGAGCAGTTGCTAGGTAAAGGCAGGTGTGTCAGCTGAAGTAGTGGAAATTTCTATTCATCTTATAAATAGTTGAACAGCCCGACTCGGTGAAATGTGAAACGAGCAAACATCCCATCTTATCCTTGGAGGGCAGATCGGGATTCAGTCTATAGTGCTGTCATGTCAACTGTGTCAGTGCTGCTGTTCGTGATGCCAAGACCCTATAACTTATTCATGTGAACACAGCAAACAAAGGTTTAGCTTAACTGAGTGATGAACATTCCTCCACTTGCAGCTTTCTCCACAGCTAGATGCAAAAAGTGCAGAGGTCACTTAATCTGTGACAGAAATAGACTGCACCATCTTTGGGGTCAGTATGTTTTGCAAGTACAGTAATATGATTGCAGTCAGGCCTGAGGGCTTCAGGCACAGTGTCCTTGGTAGCAGGAGAAAATATCATTAAAATCATCACAGAGCTTGGCTGGCTTGCTTAAAATTTGCTGGGTAAAATTATAAATTTCCCTTCTAATCATGTTTATACCCTAGGCTATTAGCAGGATTTTTCCTGCTGCTAAGCCCTCATGCTTCTTGTCGAACTACACTGACCCTTGTTCTCTGGTGTATTAAGACAGATACTCACCAGTGCTTAATACTCCCTGTGAGACTGCAGGAGCTTTTTGGGTCTTTCTCAGTGACTGAAGGGTTTCTGCTCTTGAAAAGATGAGAATTCACAGACTGAATTTGAAGCTATACATCAGCTTGGCAATATATTAAATGGAGTTTATTGAAGGATTTCAACTGCAGTCAGTTTTAAAGAAAGGAGATATCTCTGTGATATTGCCTGGAAACGCATGTGTCTGAGTAAGCTTTCATGTAACCTCAAAGTATCTAGTCATAAATATCATCTAGTGGTCAAACCAGAGGGCTGAGAGTAACGGTAACATAGATCCCAGTTCTGTCACAAACCCTTTAGCTGGACTGACTAAACCAATTCCTCCTGCATCTTCAATGATCAAATTGCCTTGGGGACACTAAGAATAACATGCACAGAAAAGCATGGTGTGCTCATTAGATGAAAAGGAGTCTGTAAGTACAAGTTTTTGCTTTTTTTTATTCCCATTTATTCTTGTTAACCGGGGGATAGGATTATGCTGATCCGTAGCTGATCTGGGCTCCCACCTGCACAGGGAGGTGAAGACACTGCAGCAGCTGTGGGTAGTGCTTACTGCCGGTTACTGCAGTGGCAGTGACTGAGTAGTATTGTCTGAAACCGGACCAGAACCACATTTACATATAAAGCCAAATACATCCTTCCAGCTGACTGACTTACTGGTGAATTATAATGCCCTTCTCTCACTTGCCCTTGCTCTGTGTAGCTGCTTCCGGAAAGGAATGTCTTGTGGCAAGTCATAGGAGGGTACTGTGATGAGAAGCCAATGGGGGTATGTAAATGAAACCCAAGCTTTTTAATATCAACTTATGTCTCTCCTGCATTCTCTATTTTGTTATATTCACATTCACAGAGAGAGAAAAATTCAGCTTTGTCCGGTTAGCTGTTACTCTTAAACCCATGTTTGCCTGTAATCTGATTATATTCAGGTAAAAGGAAATCAATCAAAATTAAGAGAGATGACTGCTCAGCACAAAGCTGGTGCTTTACTCCTTAGCATGTGATGTAAGCTGTAAGTGAGCCTTCCTACCTTCCTGGGAGACTGGTAAGTAAGCGGAGCAAGTCATATTTAGCAGATGTAGGAACATGAAAGCCTATAGCTACAGCATGAAGGGGGAGGATAAACAATTTATAAGTACTTGTAAGTGATGATGGCACAGCTCTGAGTCGCTGTTCTAATTTACTGCTCTCTGCTTGTCTCCCTTGCAAGCTTCAGCCAGCAGATTGCAGGACCACTGCATTTTGAGCTCTGGCAGTCTCAGACGCATGCTGAGGGCTATGCTGTATGAACCACACTTGCATTTTTGAGAGCATATACGAATAGCCTCACAAAACTTAGTGAGATCCTTTGCATAAATACTCATTCTGTGTACAGCTTACACAGTATAGTGCTTACAAAGTGAGCCACTTAACCACAAAACTCAGGAAAAGCGTAAAAATACAGTCACCTTTTAAATAGAGCTACTGTAGCCCACTGGCCTCAAAAGTCCTTGTTTTTAACGTGATAAATGGTTGGCTCCCAAGAGTAGTCACTACGGTCGTGGAATGCAATCTGACACAGAATGGCAAACAAGGGTTTATTTGATGAACAGTAATGTAAGAGAATTCATGATTTTAAAACTGTCTTCTCTACTGGTCTAACCAAGCACAGTGTTTTACATTGTGCAAGTAAATTACTGATGTTAACTGTTCATATGCATGTTAATAAGGTACTGCTTGAAAGTGCTACATGGTCTCTTTCAATTAGATGCAGGAAGCCATTTTTACTGGGATTCCTCATCACCTGGATGGCAGGATAAAGATTTTTTGAGGAACTGTGTGCAGATCAAAGACCCTCTTTGAACTGTACCTAAGTATTGGTTAGGCCTGGGAAATTAATTGTTATGGGAGATGTATTTAACTGTGAGTGAATGTATATATATATATATATCTTAAAGCAGGAGAAAGGAAATTGTAGTTTCCTTAGAACTTCAAAGGGAGGAAACTTTATAACAAAAAACTAATATACATCTTCACATAACACTTCAGATTTTGTGTCTCCTGCCATTGTGTAATCTTGCATCAAAGGATACCTAGGTTAGTACTCAAGGGAAGCCATCAGCAAGGAGAACAGCACAAGCTATGGAGGGAGTGAGAAACAGAGCTGTCAAAAGGATTTGGGATTGAGGAACAAAGGATTGAATAAATTATTTTTTTCCCCATATTCAATCTTTACAGATGAAGAACAGCTTTAAGAAGTTGTTTAAACATGTCATGTGATATAGTTGCTCTAAAAAAGTCCATAAATATTCATATATTATCAAAGTGATAGTTTTATTGTACTTGCACATTGTGTGGGATTTGCTTCCCACCAATATTCATGAAACTTCTTAGACTCAGTTACTTTCAAGCAAATGTTGAGAGACACTTTTGATTGTCAAATTTTAAATTATTTTGCCATCCACCAAAGATGGCAGAAAATCAGTAGTAGATTCAGAAGTTATTAAAGTAACTAATAGATAAACGTTGGCATCACATAATCCTTTTTCTGACAGTGACAGACAAAATCAAAATATACTTTGGAAGTATTCTCCTCCTTGGTTTCTTCTTGGTGTCTGCAAAAAATTCGTGCCCCCTAAAACTTCAGAGACTGCTTTAAAGAAAGCTAAAAATGTTCTTGATGCTCTTTACCAGAGAGAGCAAAAGGAAGCCAGGCAAACCCACCAAAGAAGGCTGCTAGGCTGAAGGTGCGGACAGTATGATTGCTGAGTTCTAATGTGCTGGAAGTGTACTGCTTGTCTGCTGTGTTATATCTTCTGCATATTCCCTTTATCAGCAGTAAATGGGACACTTTTGACTTAGAGAGACTAAAGTTAACTTGTTTTCTTGTTACTAGACTAGAGAAGTACACACTTGCCATTATCAGTAACTCATCATTCACCATTGGGAACATGATGTGGTGCCCACTAAGTCCTTGTGGAGCGCAGTGAATATTTTGGCATCATAAATATTGATCTGGTTCCTACAAAGAACTTAGAAAACAGATGGGGCGGAATCCTAAAAATGTGTATATACCATTCAGCTATTTGGCTAAAGAAAGCTCAGTGGCTCATGGGAGAAGATTTTGCTATATAAAGACTTTTTTCCTCTCCCTTTTTCTATCCATGGTGTTACACAGTAAACCAATATGGTCTGAGGTCACAGAGCAGGAGAAGAAAAGAAACTCCATCTGCAGTATGTGCAAACTCTGTCTCTGTGACAAGCGAGTGTTGTAACACTCAGCCGTGCAAAGTTAGCTCTCTACCTGCAAATCTCTGTTTTAAAATATCAAACTGTAACACTACAAAGCTTTAGAGAAAGTCAATTTGATTCTGCCTTCCTTGATTCCGTAGGAATCTATGTAAAGCACCTGTTTAGTACACTGATCTCCTGAGGGCTTTTTTTTTTTTTTTGGTTTACAAACCCCAGCTTCTCACAGAAGAGGCTATGATGTCTCCTCAACAGCATTTTATGTTTCTCCCTGCTCTGTAAGAAGTTCCTCTTCTGAGGATCTCAGCTGAGTCAGAACTCCATTGAGATTTATGGCTTAGCATGAGCACTGGAAGGAAGGCAGAGAAAGGGGATATTGTGCCCTGCTGTACTGCTGCTTTCAGACTAACCAAATGATTTCTGGAAACTGGGACAAGTCAGACCAGGCATTAATAAAGCTCAGAGCTGTATCACATCCTTATGGAGCTCCTAGAGCTGCTGCTGAGCAGCTGCAAGGGGAACCAGATCAAAGGCAATGAACATTTGTGCGCTACAAGGAGGATGGGAAGCTGCGCTCCACTGAGACACAGCTGCCCATGCTAAAGAGGATTCCAGTTTTGAGGAAGCTATTTCCTTTGAATTGCTTAGGTCCTGATGTTACTGTTCCAAATGTCTAGAGGATGCCTTGGATGGCCCTGCTCTGTGGTACTCTTAGGGAGAAGGAAATGAAGGACTCGACATTTTGTCTGAGAATTTTTCAGTGCTCACTGATGATAGCAAAGAGCCATGAAAAAGGCTGTTTACTCTGGCACCAAAAAGAAATGCCAGTGATGTAAAGGGAACAGAGCTTTCTCCAAATTTTTTTCCCCCTTATTGCATGAAAATGATATGGCTGAAGGCTGTACGCTAACAGTTAATGTACTTTAAAACACACCCAGGCCTACAGGGTTTACTTATGTTTGAAGAAAGGTATAACTCCATGTGAGTCCTATCTAAGGATGACCAAAAATATCACTAGGTGAACCGAGTATGTCGCTTTTGGCAAGTTTATGTCCAAGTCAGCTAGTCATAGGTGTCAATGTAGTTCTCAAGAGGTTCTTGGGGTATGGCTGAAACATACCATGGATTGTATTCTTATTGGTGGTCAAATCCAAGTTGAAAATCTGTATATTCAACATTCAGAATAACAGCCCTTTTCTTACCATCATGACTCTTACAAGATGGAGCTGGGTCAGATGATTTTCCAGGTAATGTAGAGACAGCAGTTTGGGAATAACATTGAGGACTTTATGCACAGAATTCTGGTGCTTGGTGAAAACAGGATTATTCTTGTTAGTTTTATCTCATCTTCTATATTGAGTTGTAAGGCATGAAAAAAGTGTTACAAGGTCAGTTCCTGCTGTAATTATTTAAAAGTATGTAATCTCTGGGGTTATGTTTTTTTCTATTGTATCAGACCTTGCTTTTAAGCAGTTGCACCCTGAATACTCTGATGCCTGGTGAACTGTGTGCCTGGTCTGTCTTTCTTCTGGCAAACATTCAAAGCATAAGAAATTATCTATGCTTCTGGTAGGCTAATGAAATTAATGCTGATCCTTGACATCTTTATTGGTTTTGACTTACCACTTCACAAATCATTTTACAGAAGAGTGCAAGCAACAAAAAATAGCACACACATTTGCTAAAATATCCTGCTATATACAGTAGATATGGAATGTTACAGGAAAAAGATAAGCTAAGCTGGGGTTATATGTCCACCTACTGTTTTCAAGAGTAGAGTAAAACTCAAGAATAAACTGACAAGTAAAGAGCTCTCAACCACACGATGAAACTGGATTACTTCTATTAACAGTAATTATTATTTTTTTCCATGCTGCAATTGACACAACTGACAAACCTTTTGGTCTTTACAGTGAAAGCACTTGCGGTAGGAAAAATTACTAAAAAATAAACAGATGATTAGAAATAGCATTTTCTTCATTTCCATGTATTTCTGCATGTGATACTAGCAAGCTCTAGCTCCTGGGTTAATGTTGACAAAATAATGCTGTAAAAGAATAAAATAAAAATAACAACAACAAAAAAATATGTATCCTGGCATTAGATTTCCTTTCTGTTATGTTCCTAATGTTTCTCCCTTCTCATTTTCAGGAACATACAATGGACCTTTAAAAATGCGGAGCTGCTTTCAGAATTGCTATCGTCATCTAGATCAATTTATAATAAAGTCCTACCTCCCAATCTATTCTAATTTCAATGTACACACTCTGCTGGCTGTTTACCAGCATGGAGTTCAGAAATAATATGTCCATTTAGTCACAGATGCACAGATATCCCTGGAATGGTAGAGTGGGACTGCTTTAATACTCCCAAACTTACTGCATGTTTATACATTCACTAATGTCACTCACTGTGATATTTAGAAGCTGGGTATAAGAATGACACATGGGGAGGAAAGGGTAGAAGTTGCACATGCTCTTCAAGAGGGCTGAAGCTTCGAGTCTTATTTTCCTCCCCTGAGTTGATAGCCTTCCACTTCAAATGACTACATAACATGAATAGAAAATTAGGTTGGGCTAATCTAATTTGAAACAAGCTGGTCACAGCCAGCTACTGTGAGTCTCAAAGGTCTTATAAACTGGTTTTTATAAGTATTTGACATTTCTACTGGGTACTAAACATAGCTCTCTGTTGTTATAAAGTGCAGCACACTGTGCAAGGAAAACAGTCTGTATGCATTGACTCGTATGCTCATTGGTTTGGTTCCCCCCTTCCCCCCCTGAATTGGTACAGAGGTGTGGAGCATCTGGGATATTTCCAGAAAAGGGGTGAATTAATATCTTTGGATGATTTTTCCATATAATCAATTTTTATATACTTCTGTCCAATTATTTGAGGACTGGATCTTTCACAAAGGCTGAATCTAATGCCAGAGTAAATACTTTCCAATGTGGTTAGAATTTTTTTTGGTGCTTCACTTGTGGTATGTTAGGTAGTTGAGTGCTGTTAGAAACATCACTTTTAGCAAACCCTGAATAAACCCTTAATAACAGCTGTCAGTCCACAATGCAGGCAATCTCAATAAATGGAATAAAGTTAACAGAGAAGCTCAGAATTTTCATTTACGTTAGAAAGTAATTGAAAGAACAAAATACTTCGTCAAAGATAATTATGAATATCTAACCAATAATGTAGGCAAGAATAAACACAGAGACTTCTAATGTGTCTGTTGTGCAATGACAATGTTTAAAACATTCCTGTTTTCAGCAGTATTAAATACAAACATATGTTTTGACCATATGAATGATATATGGACTGGATTCTTTGCTGTTCTGAGTTTCTTAGTTTGCTAAAGAGGAGACTGTCGTGACCCTCATCTCAGTTTGTGAGCAGGGGCCTAAGTGATGTGCTTCCCTTGTAAGAGAGTGGAAACATGCAGAGCAGTGGCATCACCATTGTCTCAGAGACACAATTAAAATAAGGGACACAAGTGCACGGCTTTATCTGTCTCAATGCTGGTTGTATGAAGAGATTCAAGTTGGGGTTGTTACAATTAAAGGCCTATGTTGCAATGTCTACAGGTGAGCTGGTTCTCCTCAGCTTTCTATAGTTTCACTGGGAAAAACAGACATTTCTAGAGCACAATTATTAAGATTTATTTTAGACAGTATGACCTGAATCACTCTAAAAATGTCTATATCTGTTGAGGGGAGGCAGGAACATTTCTTCAGACATACATGTCTACATAATAGATATGTAAAGTCAATGAAATGAATCCTATGTCTCATTCCCATTTAGGGAATAATAGAGGCACCTACATTAAAAACTCTTGACTTGTTACTGAAGTTGTTTAACTAGATATTTATACTACACAGTAGAGAAGTTTTAGTTTCAAATCTCCTAACAAGACATTGCTAAAGTGAGTTTGCTTTTTGAAAAGTTAGCATTTAATAATGCTAACTTATAGGCACTCATAAAGTGCCTGTAGAACAGTTTGGACTCAAAATAAGTTCCTAATGTTTTAAACAGAGGATATAGGCTTCATAAGCATTCTTAAATTAGATGACTTGAGAGCGCGGAAAAATATGTAGAGAGACCAAAAGCAAAGAAGAAATCCCTTCTAAGTGTCCTTTTTCATGTTTCTGTTGAGGTAACAAGTGTTTTCAAGTATAGAATTGCTAAGGGTGTGACTTGGTTAAGAAGCTTACTTGATAATTATTATTAAAAGTTTTAAATTTACATCTTACTTTGTTCTGTGGAGGCACACAATATTCTTTCAGTATTTCATAGATAAATTTAGAAGAATAAACCTAATTAGAAACTCATGTTTAGCTTGGCCATCCTTATCTCCAGCTCCATCTTTTTCTAGCAATCTAGCAGAATTACTAGCTTCAATTGTCAAAATTCACTTGCCACACATAAAATCTATTTTATATGTCACCTTTTCACTTTTGAGCAAATCAAAGCACGTGGGTGGACATGAGCTCAAAAAGGGCTGAGTAGCTGTGTGACCTCAGCCATGCCATGGCACATGGGATGGTATGCTTATCGAATCTGATAGTGACACTTGCGTGCTACTGCAACTTGGAGCTTGGCTTATGCCTAAATATGTTGTGTGTGAATAATTGCTCATTAAGTTCTCCTGTAAAAATTAATTTGTAATAATAATGAAAGAAGTAAACAGTCATTTTCTTTGTAAAGTGTCTGTATTCCTTAATAAATTAATCTCTAAAATGTTGTGCTAATCAAGTTCTATCACGTGCCAATTTTTTTGTTCTTCTTATAATGAATAATCACAAGGATACAGTGTATTGACAAATATTACCATTAGAGAATAAGAGAGAGAAGAGAAGTTGTTCTTATCTCAGAGAAAAGGAAATGTATTTTGGAAATGAAGTAGCTAAGATACAATAAATTAGGTTTAACCCTCACTTGTAGCTATATAGGGATGTTTGTCCTTCCCTAATATTAGTCTGTGAGTCATTGTATCCTTTCTCTAGTAATATGGTTAAATTCCAGGGTTATCTTATTTTTTCTTCGTCTTCAACAGAGACATGAAGATTTCATTGAATGTTTTTTTTTTCCAAGGTCAACAAAACATTGTTTTCTTTCTGTGATCTGGAAAAGAAAAGCACTTCTGGCCCTTAAAAATATGTATTTTCTCCTTCTGAATTCGCAAATGAAGCCTAATGAAATCTGTGTGATCTAGAAGAGTTGTTTTGCAGCAAAGCTATTTAAAATACAATCTGAGTTAATAATAACAACATTTTTTTAGATGGACAGGAGTGTATGTGAATAGAAAGAACTATTCAATACAGGAAGATTACTTCAATTTGCATATTGGTCACTAGTGGAGATAATACATGTGTAGCTGTCCAGGCCTAGTGTCTTTTAGTGTATGTCTCCATCCTGGTGTGAATAAAACCACACCATATTTTGCTACTCCCTGTTCATTCTGCTGAGAGGGAGTCAGGGGAATTTCTGACTGAAATGCACAAACATATAAAACTTGATAGTATTAATTCCAATTTACAGTGGGAGTGGTAGTCTGTTTGCTTACTAAATTTCAATATAAGTTTTCCATGGTCATTTCAATTGGTTAAAGTAAATTTCATATCTGCTTACAGGAGAGATATTGTTACCCTGTGTACTAAATATGCTTGTAGACATTCACTTACAAATTGCACACATCTGCTGTTTTGGTGAAGTTAGCAAAACTCTACTAACGCTATGTACCAATAATAAATAACTTTTCTGAGGTATCTGGTTGTTTCCCAGATATGAGTTAAAGAAAGTCTAACACTTTCCTTCAATTACTTTTGAGTTTGTAATTAAATCCATATGAGACGAACTGATTGGTGGATTGGGGTGAATAAAATGCTAGTAAAACAAACTCTGATTTCCTGGTCATTCACTGTTTTCTTTCCCTTGTGTACCAGTGGCTATTCCAGAGGTTACTACCTGACTGCAGCCATGTCCCCTAGGGCTTTGGTCTTGACACATCTTTAAAAATAAACAGGACAAAGGATGTAGACAAACAAATCAGTTTCACAGAACCAAATAAAGTTTCAGAAGCACCACCACCATCCCATGGATCTTCTTACATCTCAGAATCTTGCTTTTACCATGTACCAGGGAATAAGGAAACGGTGAGGTAGAGCTTAATTCCCACTCTCACTTATTCTGGGATCTTTCTGACTAAATCCTAAGCTTGGTTAAAATGAAAATTCTGCTGTATACTACTTTAAAGTTACCTTAAACATTCCCATCACCTTAATGAAGTTGAAATCAAGCCTGTAGATTGGCATCTCAAAGGAAAATGTGGGCACTACAATAAAATTATGTGGGCGAATCAGTAGGTGTCAGACTGCTGAGTCCATAATGAATAATTATCTCAGTATAATTATTATATGTGCTGTTTTTCAGACAAGATGTAAAACTGAGATCCTTTTGTGTCTTGGTAATTAAAAACACATCTCTTATGCGACTGCGCCTTACAGAAAGAGTAAAAATTCTCTTTTGGAGAGTATGGTCTGCTAATAGTATCCAAGGATGCATAAAGAACTATCATATTGATCATTAGAATTGGCTGTCCTATATAATTTTCTCTTCCAGAATATCTGATACTAATTTTTGCATTTTCATTGCAGTTTATACATATATTTTGTAGAAGTTCATATTGTACTCATGAAGCTCGTGTTGTACTTTCTTTGATACATTTTTTTAGTTGTATGAAAAACCTGTATGATCAGGGTTTTGATGCTCCTCCTGGATCAGATTTTATAGAATTTTGGGTTCAAAAATCAAAAGCAACTTGATTCATTCATGAGATAAAAATACAAAGACACAACTTCTGTTTCAGGAAATCCTTGAATTACAAACTGGTAAAAATTCCTGAATGATCCTTCTGTTCTTAAACTCTTCCCTCAATATCTGCTGTTGACCAATCAGAGCAATATCTGGGGCTATACATACTTTTTATTTTGTTCAGAATGACCATGCTTAGTTTTCTATGTAATATGCTGTAACTGCTGAAAAGAAATATTCTACCATTCGGACTTCTCACCAAGGCAAGGAAGCAAACCTTCTTTTCAAAAAAATATTGAAAATTTAAGTAGATATTTTTCTCCTAAAGAGTTACATAGGAAATATTTTTCTGTAGAAATATTCCTCATCTATTTTATTACCAAAATGGGCATCTCTTATCAAGATGTTTTGCACTTTCTGTAAGTTATGGCAGTTTTTTGGACATCATTCCTTGGTCTGCCCTTGGGGCTATTATGGGAAATTGGATGCAGGATAATAGTTTCTCATGTTCTATCCAACCTTTTCAGCATATTCTCTTTTGCATTTGTTAGGTGCCAATGCAATTATTTTGAGTGGAAGAGTCACGAGAAAACAAATTAGATGAAGCATAGCTAAAACCATTTTCATGCATCTATCCCAGAGACAACACTTAAAGGATATTTTTGTGAAGAACAGTAAGTCTGTCTAAATAAAACTGGGTTACTGACCTGCTGGTTGGAGTCAGATGAAAAAATTTCCATAGTGTACACTGACAAACTGGGATTTTTCTAAAACTTTTCCTGTCATTATTTAGTGACTGTAGCTAGTATAAGGGCTGCTTTTGGCTTTATCTTTGACTGGTCATAGATTATTCCTGTACTGCCTATCAAAGTATGACTTTGAATTGAATATATTTTTTATTTCTGGCAAAATTGGAGGAAAAAGGGATAGAAGACATAAAACATCCAACTCCGAAGTCAGGTACAAAAACTGAGAATCTGGAGATGAAATTTACCTGACATTTTTCTATCTTCATAACTGGGATGTGAAAGAAAAGGAAAGTGTCCATGATTGTTATCTGGAGAAAGAAAAGCCTCATGCTTTAGCGATGCAGACAGCAGAATCTCATGTAAGTCTATGGTAACATGCTGCATTTGCTTGGTGACAACACATGATGAGGTGACTATAAACAAAACAACAGTTATTTATGCTGGCTGAAGTTTGTTGATAAATGGGGAATGCAATTTTGAGCTTATCAAGAAATCAGCAAGATAGCTGTGTCTTTGGTTAGGTTATGATTAAGAAGGAAATCTAGTGCACTGGAACTAATATTTCAGACTGTGTGGAAAATTACAGAGTATGTATACCCAGGTCTTGAACCTGCTACTATGTTTCAAGGAGTGAATAATGACATTGGAAATTTATTACATACAACATAAACTTTGGTATATTTCCAATGTCTCCTGGGCTGTGTGTGGAAGAGTGGGCATCAGCTCTCACAGTTAATCAGTTGTGGTCTGCAGTGAGCTACCCCAGGGGCTCAGGTGTACCCTGTGCTGATCAAATTGCGAGACCTGGACTTGCCATCAGGCATTATCAAAACAACGAGACATGTTATGTGCTTGGAGAGGTACAGAATAAGGCAGTTCTCAAGCAGGAGGCCGAGGTGTGTTTTTCTCCTGTGTTTTGCCAAGTGCATTTACACACGGAGTTCTTGACCACCACTTGTGCAGTCTTCCTTTGGAAGCATTTTCCATCTGTCATGCTCACATGCAAAAAACCCCCTGCTGATTCTGTCCCCACCCTTGAAATGGAACCTCTCTTTGTCTCACAGCTTTCGACAAGACTTTTATTAAAGAGACAGAGAGGAGAGGAAAAATGCATACAAGGTGCTTTCTAGCATTTCATATCAAGAGCTGCAGCCAACAGGATCACAAATGCCTGTGATGGCAAAGAGAAAGGGATTCAGTTTCACCTTTACTCCTCTTTTCAACCACTAGAAATCCTCCCTTTATCTGTAGCACTCTAAGATCCATCAGCTGCTTCATCCAGCCTACTAAGAATTAAGAGTTTCTTTATCTGTGGTGGACAGTCAAATAAAGTGCAGCTAGAAACACTGCCTTCTCCCATACTTAGATCTGCATGTGAAATACCAACCACCCTCTTCACAAAAGTAGCAAAAAATAGTTTTAAATATTATTTCTAACAATATTCCCTCTTATACTTTACTCACATCAACAGTAAAATGGCTAAAAAAGAAAAAAATCACCGGAAAAATATATGGGAGGATAGGGATCCTAAGACTGATCAGTGATGATACAGGGGAAATACATAGCTCTCTCACATCTCCTTTCTTCAAAATTTTAATTATTTTGCAAATAAACCACTCTCTTATATAATGATTGTGACTTTCAAAGGACAATCTTTGTGACAGCACTTCATAATTTGTATAAGACATATACTGAATAGACATTAGGGTAACTAGAATTTCCTTTATTTAAATTTCTGCTTCACATACCATCTGAAAGGAAGCTGTATATTCAGAAAAATGGAGTGGTAAGGCCTGCTTAAAAGACTGGCTGCTGTGCCTATCACTGACAGTGAATATCTGAAATTTCTGTTGTAATTTAGCTATATTTTGGTAATAGGGGCTTTTAAGTATATTGGAAATATATCTAGTTCTTGTTTTTCAGAAAGGTTTTTTTGGCTTTCCCTGCATAATTTCCCCTCTTAATTCTACACAAGCCATTTCTCTCAAGGCACTGAAAACAACAGGTTAGGACATTTTCCGTGCACACATATTGTACTGCTGCATATTAACTGGGCTTCTTCAACTCTCCTGCCTGACACCATAGAGTGTGTCAGGCTGTGCCAACAAGGCTTTGCTTTGTCTCATTATAATGGAAAGCACAATCAGCTGGTGCAGTGAAAAAAATTTATCAGGGATAAAGAAAACAAGTTATTCGGGGGAAATGATCCATAACTGTTTGTTATTAAAGTCTTTAAGAATTACTTGTATAAGAAGAAAGGAATTGCATCATAAATTTAACTCCTTGGTTCATTCTCAGAACAAGTGAATCAGGGCAAAACTATCCTGGGAGCCAAAACACACAAATGCTGAACATGTTCTTCAGCTGGCCTCTTAAATGTGTTTTACTGAATTTAATGCTATCACCAGTTCATTCCATATTGGAAGAAAAAGAAAGTGTCAACCACATGAAAGTATCCTTTCTTTGGAGAAGACAGAAGACAGAACATGAATTGGAAAAATTCCTTTGAGACCTCTCCCTTCACCAGCCAAAAAAAAAAAGAATATAAATCCAATTATACTGTTAACTAAAACCACACAGGCACAAAATAGTACTCCTAGCTTACCAAGCCTGTTGCAGAGATCATCATATTCTTTTCCACAGGTCCTTTCAATATTTTTCAGTAGTTACTCTACACTGTTATCCAGCATCCGTGTTTCACTTTTTGGCTGAGGAATTCATGTTTTGCATGGCCAAGAGAGGAAAGGGTAGCACAAAATGGCAAAAAGTCAAGATAAGTCTTGCAGTACCCTTTGATCTCCGTGGTCTACTGCCTGCCAGCTGTGATTCCAAGCAGAGTGCAGATGCACACACATGGATAAACACTGCCAGTCTCCCTCTTCTTCCCTGCAGTTGACTTTGCCTTGCCACCTGTCCTCATACCACAGGAAGATATTCCTTATTCCTAGGCTTGCAGGAAGGAGGCTGCTGTCAGGATATGGGGGCAGAGGGGTTCTGTCAGGTGATACTCTAACTTCCCCACAATGACTGTCTCATTGTGTCCCCCCCCAGCTCAGGGGAGATTGTTGGTCACAGCCTAATATGGGCAATTGCACAGGATATGTCACACTGTGTGTGTCTGATGGACAAATTGCCATGGTAATTGCCTATCCACATATTTATATGCAAAGCAACTGATAGATTCCTGCTGAGCAATCAAGACTTTTAACAGAGTAGGATGAGAGACAGAAACTAATATATATTTGCACCAGCAGCTAAAGCTGTAAAAGGTTGGTACCATGTTGTTCTGTGTGACAGATTAGTTTATTATGGTCATAGGACTGAGGTTATGCCATGTTTATATTCTAATATCCTGCTTTTAATGGTTAATAACATTCAGAAACTTTTCTCTGGTCCAGATGTTATTTCTGTCCAAATATAATTTTATTTGGAAGGTTTGAAAAAGAATGGTTCATGTTTTTTTGCTTTGTTTGTTTGTTTGTTGTTGTTATTTTTTCCCTGATAAAAATTTATTCAGTTCTGTGCTTTGGTCAGGGATTGCTGAAAAAAGGACTAAATCCACCTGCTTTCTGTTGGGTTGGGCTCAGAGAGAGGCATCAGAAAGTCTTCTGTTAAAACAACATCCAACCTATATACATCAGGGCTTCATTTGTGTACAGTAACTGAATGTAGGACAAAAAAAAATGTCTCTACCAGAGAAAGCAAAAGAAGTGATGCAAGTATGAGAAAAAAACAAGGAATGTGGGTGAAGAAGGAAAATGTGTTGTGCTGTATCTGGGAATTCTGAGAAAGATAGGGAAGAAGACAAAAGGGTGAATTATTCATATCTCTGATCAAAAAGGCATTACTATGTTTTAATTGCTTCCCATTTTTATGGCCATTTTTTGGCAGCAACTTTGCCTTCTGGGAAGATCCTTGGCGTAATTTCTTATTTTGTTCATTTGAAGGTTTTCTGTCAGCTTATGGTGAATCTTTCTTGCACTCCTTGACTGAGTTCTTTGCAGTGTATCTCCAAGGGCCACAGGGGTGTCATGTAGCCATGTATTTTCTTTAGGTTGCCAGCATCACCCAAATGGACTCAGGGACCAGGACTTTTATTTTACTGCTGTCTCTTTTGTTCAGTGCTACTTGGAATGCAAACACAAATTTTTATTTTCTCTTTCTCTTTTTTTTTTCTTTTTTTAAATCTGGAAAGGAAGCATCCATGATGCTTCATAATCTTCAGCAAGTAAGGACAAGGCTCAGACATTTCAGTACTTCTCTTGTGAGTACTCTGTGTGTGACATTTCCCCTTGTTGTCCTTGTTCTTAACAAAATGTTGCACACTGTTTCACAATGTGAATGATTTAACTCCTACTCTACCCAGGGCATTGCTTCTGGCGCTGGTTAAAGCTTGCTTATGGTTCTAGTGGCTCAGAGCAAACCATTTCTGAACATTTTCTCACCTGTATGCATGGGTTTTTCACTGTGTATGAGTATCATGTCATTGCTAAAACTACACAAATTTTTTATAAAATATATTTTTATTCCCTATCATCAACTTGATGTGACCACACAAACCACGTACATTTTGTGCTTGCTTATCTGACTAATCTCAACACCACTACCAATTCACTCTAGGCCAAAGGTTATACAAACCGGACAGCTGACCTTTGCAGCCTCATATTTGGAATCAGGACCATGAGAATGTCTTTGCTTGAGCTTCTAACCACCACCAGCAGATAACTTCTCCAGTTCCTTAGCAACTTAATTATGCATTGTAATTGATTTTGAGCCTATGAAGAAGAGACATTGTTGTGAAATTACAGACTGCATACTTTTCTAATTTTTAAGTCCTATATTACATTATTGTCTTTGATGAAGGGAGTAGAAAGTTTTTTCTGACTTAGAAAGTTATTCCCAAATTCTTAAAAAGTTATTTGATTTTTCTTTTTTTTGTTAGCCAGTACTGCACAGTCTGATAATGTGAAATCACTTGAAATCACTTTATTTTTTTCGTGAAAAGACATTTGGTGATCAAACATTGGAAACTGGGACCTATGGATACTCCAAATATTTGCAAATGAGCACATATGAAGAAAGAAGCAGTACCACCTAATAGTCTTTTTAGATGGCTCTTTATCAGTGTATTTCCATAATATCATCTCTGGTGCATAGTTATAGAACTGGACATATGGTTTTCTGTGAACAGGAACTTTCCCTTTTGAAATCTCCAAGTGAAAGATGAAGCAAGAGGTAGGTGTAGTGATCCTGACTAGGAGACCATTATGCACTGAGGAGTGAGTGATCCTTGAAACAGTTACCCTAAGCAGGCACAGACCGGTGCGATGCTACACGAAGATGTCTGTGTCATGCTGCATAACCCTTTGAGCTGCAGGGCGGTCACCAGCTCATTGCAACTGAGGAGCCTGCAGGTAGCTTCCCACCAGTGCTCATGCCTCCTGCGTGGCCTGCATCTAACAGTGCAGTGAATGGTGGAATCTTTTAGTAAGGGTGTCTTCCCAGCTTTGCTGTACATGGATCATAGCCCATTCGATGCTGCACCACTTGGGGTCCCCTCCCTCTACAGGGATGTAAGACTGATCAGGCCCAGCCAGCATGGGTGAATGAAAGGCAGGTCCTACTTGACCAGCCTGACCTTCTTCTATGACAAGGTGACCTGCTTAGTGGATGAGGGGAAGGCTGCAGATGTTGTCTACCTAGACTTCAGTAAAGTCTTTGACACTGTCTCCCACACAATTCTCAAGCAGAAACTAGCTGCTCATGGATAGGTGTGCTCTTCCCTGGGTGAATACCTGACTGGATGGCTCAGAGAGAGGTGCGAAATGGAGTTAAATAAACTTGACGACCAGTCAGTAGTGGTGCTCCCCTCAGTATTGGGGCCAGTCCCGTACAGATCATCTTTATTGATGATCTGGATGAGGGAACTAAATGCACCCTCAGTCAGTTCACAGATGACACCAAGCTAGGAAGGAGTATTGATCTGATAGAGGGTAGGAAAGCTCTGCAGAGGGATCTGACCAGGCTGGATCAATGGGCCGAGCCAATTTTATGAGGTTCAAGGCCAAGTATTGAGTCTTGTACTTGGGTCACAACAACCCCATGTAGTGCTATGGGCTTGGGGAGAAGTGACTGGAAAGTCTCCTGGAGGAAAAGGACCCGGGGGTACAGGTTGACAGCTGGCTGAACATGAGACATCAGTGTGCCCAGGTGGCCAAGAAGGCCAACGGCGTCTGGGCCTGTGTCAAGAATAGTGTGGTTGGAAGGACCAGTGAAGGATTGGCCCCCTGTACTCAGCACTGATGGGGCTCCACATTGAGTATTGTGTTCAGATTGGGCCCCTCACTACAAAGAAAGACATTGAGGTGCTGGAGCACGTCCAGAGAAGGGCAATGGTGCTGGTGAAGGTTCTGGAGTACAAGTAATATGAAGAGCGGCTGAGGGAGCTGGGGTTGTTTAGCCTGGAGAAGAAGAGGCTCAGGGAAAACCTTATCGTTCTCTACAACTACTAAAAGCAGGTTTAGCCAGGTAGGGGTTGGTCTCTTCTCCCAGGTAACAAGGGTAAGAGGAAATGGCCTCAAGTTTTGCCAGGGAAGGTTTAGACTGGATAGTACAGAAAGTTTCTTCACTAAAAGGGTTGTCAAGCACTGAAACAGGCTGCCCAAGGAAGTGGTTGAGTCACCATCCCTAGAGGGATTTGAAAGACATGTAGATGTGACACTTAGGGTTATGGTTTAGTGATGAACTTGGCAGTACTTGATTAGTATTTACACTCAATGATCTTGGAGGTATTTTCCAACCTAAATGATTCTATGATTGCCTATGCTTCTATGCTTCTATGATTCTCTCCTTGGAGTGTTAGCTCTAATAAGTAGCATTTTTAATAATAACTTCCAGAGTCTGAGTGCCTTTAGTACTGGGATCATAACAGGCTAGTACATCCTGTTGCAAAATATCAGTACTAAGCAGAATTGCTGTGAATAGTGAATATTTTCTATATATATAGATCTCTATATATATGCATCAAGATGACTTTTGATAAGACTGTTTATTGATAGGCCCAAAATATGTGTAAGACCCTGCTGTGCTAAATCTAGAAACAACAAATCTAGGAGAGTCAACTGCCTTAGGAAAACAGGAATAAATTGATAAGTAGTTTAACATATGAGATTCAAAACCCATGAAAGTCAGACTAGATCAGACTGGCTTTTATGTATGGTTAAAAGGGAAAATAGAAATTTAGTGTTCCTTCAAAAATATCAGCTATTAGTGTACAGTATATGTGACATGCAACACACCAAGAAAGCATTACTAAAGAAGTGGCTGGCAGCTTCATGCTACTAGAACACAGTTCATGATCAAACATGAGGAAATGGTCCTTACAAACATCAGTCCATTCCCAGTGGCAGGGAAATGAGAAGTTTTAGATGTGATGGAGACCCAGTCTCACTATCTGAAGACACTGAGTTCTAGAGAATCACAATGCAGTTCACTTCAGGACCTGGAAAAAAATTTGATTTATAGCAAACAACAGCACTGCAGGTCAAACAATGCAAAATATTAGTTGTCACTCAATAATCTCCAATCACCATAAATCATATGGGAAATCTAACATGCACTGAACTTGAGGTCTGTGCATACTGGGTCTCTGGAGTGACTCATGGGATGAATTTATATGATCCACTTGCAGTACTCTGAAACAACAAAGATCTTTAGTAAACATCAAAGCTTTTGAAAATGGTAAATTTGGATGAAAACAAGTATGTGATAAAAGAACTAGAGATCTGGCTACAAGCTTATTGCCTGTATTTTCCTGCTATAAACAAATGTAAGTACACAACGGTGCCCTGCTTTGCTCATTAGCTTGGAGCTGGACCTGTGGAACACAAAAACGGGCATGCTTAGCATGAAAAAAATGTGCAAATTAACTGTGGTGTGTGGCTTGTCACAGCACTAGGAACAGATACCAATATCAGTTATGAGAGTAGCTGTGCTGACAAAGATATGACTCATACAGTTCGTTGCAGCTGAGGAATGACTAGCAGTGATCTGACTAACAATTTGTCATGGGAGAGGATCAGAACTGTGTGCCAATGAGCTTATGGGCAGCAGTAGTGAAGAATCTCTGTTGTTATACCTCCCTGTGTTTCAAGACAGCTTTTCAGTTCAGTGTGGTTGCAGGTGTGAAGTATGGAATAACAATTTTTCTTGTTTTACCTCTCCAGAAAAAAAAATGTGACTAAGGGGAATGCAACTCCATGAGGAAAAATGTCTCTGCCTCTCAGTTCACTGGGAATGACTTGAAAAGGCTGCTCTCAGAAACACCAACAGATTCACTGGTGCTGACAGCATGTGACAACTTCTCCAAGTTGAGATACGGCAGCCACACAAGCATAAAAGCCCCTGACAGTTAGAGAAACGTTACATAGCCCTTGTTGGCCTTCAGCCATGCTTTCTTTTTTATTTCACTGGGTTATTGTAAGACTACAGGAACCTGTGTTTCCCTCTAATCAGACCTCTGTAGCTAGGTACTCTTGAAGTCCTAGGACTTTGGAAGAGAGAAGAGCGAAGGAAACACGGTCAGGGAGCCTCTGACAGACAGACTATGTATTGATGCTGAAAAGACAATAAAGATGTGAACATCTAGGACATAGAACAGATGAGACTAAGCAGCCAGAGAAAAGCAGGGAGAAAAAATTCATAGAATACTCCTTTTACTGTTCTTTTATATATTTGACATAGTTATTATGAATCCAAAAGATCGGGTTCAGAAAAACAGAGCCTGCTCTTTGCAGCACATTGGAAACTAGCATGCAGATTATTTAGCAGTGAGAAAAGTCAGTAAAAAGAAAACTCAGTGTTTGGAAGGACATGAAAGAGATCTAGAAATATTCCAGTAAGTTCCGTGCCCTAATAAGTTTTGTTGCATTGGCTGTAATGGATCAATTTGCAGCAAAGAAAGAATTATTGATTTGCTAACTGAGCCTCAACTCATTGCAGTCTGTATGTGCCCAGTGGATAGGTGTGACTGTAAACAAGAGACCTATGACCACTGTTGATACGGATGTGCATTTGGACAAGGACTTTGAGGCTGAAGTTAAGGCATGAGCATGCACACTACTTAGGAACAACACATAAACACATGAACATGTGGATTCCTAAGCGTTCAAGGAATGACAAAGGCTTATTAAATGATAAAGGCTTATTAAATCAGTCTAGATTGGAAGAAGTTGTAATATTGAATGCAGA